AGTCTTAAGTTTTAATGTACATCCCTATGCATCTAAGAAGGACTTAGAACCTGTAAAAAATAATGGAACCCTTTGAGAAACACTGGTCAACCATACAAAAAACAAAATGTGAAATTTAAACAACAGTTTTGTACAAACAATATAGTATAATCCAAAAGGAACTTCTGGCTAAGATTTTACTATAACGTTCTCAGAGGCTATGAGAATGCCTGTAGCTGAAAATATCAATTCCTCTGGGTACCTCAGCAATTAAATTCCCTAGAGAATCAATACATTCCCATGTACATCAAATTCTGCCTACAGGAACCAGGTTGCACCAAGGTTTCAAAGCACTCTTGAGTCATTTGTTCAAAAAACCTTTTTACCGAGTCCCTACCATGTGCTAGACACTCTTTTGAGTATAAGAATATATAAACGATTATGAAAAAAATATATCTGCTACCAGGTAACTAATGAAAAGCCTTTGAATGTGACAATTACAACTTAGTATGACACTTCCAAGAGAATTATCCTGAGTCCTTTAAGAACACACCAAAGGGGCACTGAACCCAGCCTGGAAGATCCCGTTAGAATATCGTCAGACCTAAGTCTTGAATAATAACCCACTAATACCAGCACTTTTCATGTACTGGAAGGCATTAAACTGCTAAACCCATCCAGGGAACTGCAGATTCTTAAATATAGCCAGAGCACTGAATATTAAAGGAAAGAAAAGCATACAGTTCAGCTAGAGAAAAAGTAAATGAAATAGTTATAGAGGACCCTATATGCCAAGCTAGCTAACATTTTTTGAGCACCTGCTATGTGTTTAGGTATCCTACTAAATGTTTTCTTGCATTCAATCCTCACCACGACCCACTGAGCTAAGAATAATTATCTTGCAATTGATGGAAAACGCAAGAAGTCAGAGTACTTGTCAGTATTATGAGGTTTTAAATGGCAGAAACAGAACTGGAACCCAGTCCAGGATTAAATCCTAAATGTGAACTCATACTCCACTGCTTCTTTAATGAAGGCTGCTAGGGGGAGCCATTGAAAGGTTTTTAAAGAAGTGATCAGATTTGCTATTTAGACTGTGTGGAAATCTGGATAAAGGAGGTGAACCTACAAACAGAAAAAGGAAGCTGCCAATGTTTATACTAACCCATGAGAGAAATGAGAACATGAATTGTGGCAGTAGGGATGAAGGACACAGAATCAAGAGATTTTCAGGAGGGAAAATTTTCAGTTCTTAGTGCCTAAATGTGAAGGGTTAGTATAAGAGAGGAATCCAGAAACCTAGCTTGGGGAACTTAGCTGGGATGTTGTATCATCTACCAAGAACACAGAAGCAACAGGTTTCGTTTGTTCAATTAAGTGTCTACAGAGCATCTCCTAAAGGTAAAACACTTTCCTAGATCAAGGGCCAAGGGCCTTTGATCAAGGGCCTGAAATCATGGCCCTTAGTTGTTGGAAATATTCTTTAGAGCAAGTGACAAAGCATTAAAAACTACAAGGGATATTGAAAATAGTCATTACTATTAACAGATTTGGCCTAGAGTCTAATGAAAACATTTTGTGCCACCGTTTTTAAAACATACTACCCACACGCATAAAAATAAAAACTTAAAAAAATCGCCAAATGCAGAAAACAGATCAATAGAGGGAAAGCATTCCATAATTTTACAGTGTTATTACTTGAGTTTGACAGATTTTCAATCTCTTATACAACAAATACACCACCCTGTAATTTGTTTTACTTATCCCTCTCCCTCTAAGCTTACAGGGAAAAAAAAGGATTGGTTTTATTACCCAAACTATAATACATATTTTCATTTTTTTCATCCCACTATCACCACTGTGACTTGCCAAGAACTTCGTTCATAACCTCCTACTTGACTTCCTATAAAATATGACCTACTTCACATCAGCTTATTTCAGTAACAATTCCTAGACTTTAACCACACCTTTCATCCAAGGATGCTCTCTGCAAATCCTAAGGCACAGCAATCCTGTGCAGATGTGGCAAGTTATTACAATTCCCATTTTACTACATAGTTAGGAAATTGGCCCAGGGGAAGTAGAGTAACTTGGAAATAATCATAAAGCCAGATGCCAAGAATAACAACTTTTCGTCAATCCATGAGAAAATACTGCCCCTAGTTGAAATAACATGAAATTTAGTATTAGGAGGAAGCAAAAAACGTTTTAAAGCCACATCCTAGGTTTTCAAACTTTATTTTTTAAAATGACCCAATCCTAGAATTAGGATTTGTAAGAACTTTCAAACACACCATTTTTCCCTAATACCTTATCCATCCAGAGTGCCAAAGATTATTTAATGAAGTACAGCTGGCAAAAGTGGCTTTTCTCCCAAACCATTTTTTATCTTACCCTTTTAAAGACACTGATAGAAAACTGTTGTTATCAGACAATAGGTAACTTTTTAATAAACCTAACTACTTAAATAATCTAATATAAAGAAGCATATTTAAGAACAGATCTGAAAATACCACAAGTGAGCTTCTATTTTGTTCCTGAAAATACACTCTGCACACCCATCTGCAATATGCATGGACAATAAATTTAAAGCTTTAATAGTCGATAATCAGAATGAAAGTGTCCCAACCACAACTCATCCCGTATGTTTCTAAATATGTTGCTGTTTGATATAATTTAGTAAAAGCAATGTTTTATATGATCACAAAATAAAGGTCTTAATTCAATTTAGAAACAAAAAACACAACACGGTTTGTAAAAGTGGCTTTTATGTTTGTGTGATCATTCCTACATGCACAAATCAGAACAAAATACCTTCCATTATTACACCATATTTACACTTTCGTTTAGAGTCAGAAAAAGCGTACTCAAGATTTTACCTTCAAAAGAATGATTATGCACAAAGAACAAGTACGGGACACAAATGATTATGGGTAAAATCCACTCATGGAACCCAGACTGCAAATTTTCACAAAACCCTCACATATCAATTATGAAAAAAGATTTTCCATTAACTAAAATCAAACTACTAATTCTAATCACAGCCTTCAAAAAAAAAATGTTTAACAACATTCCTCACACTAAATCTTGTACATCCTCTACTAGGAGCACTTTATGTGGAACTTTAGTTTATAAAGCAAATGACACTCCAAATGATTTCTAAACTTAGTGATCAACTAGTTAAGGGGGGAAAAACCAACTTCTGAACAATATATTCAGTCTAGTAATCCTGGTAAATTGAATACTTCTTATCCCCAGCACCAGAATATTCAGGCTATTTAAATACTCCACACCTCACTCCCCCCACCACACACAACTCCCAGTTTTTACATTACCATAACAATAAGCACTCTGAACAATTTAAAGCTCCTTTAACATTAGAAGTGACTTTACCTTAAGACTATTACTTAAATGTCTTTTAATTGCATTTGATTAATGCATTCCACAAAGATTCTAGAAGCAGTACTCATCAACCAGAAACTGCACTCTTAAACGTGTTCCTCATTTCAACTCCAAAGATGGACAGAAGGGTTGTCACAAATCTACAGAGCAAAAGCACATAAACTATCTAATGATTAAGAAAAAGTAAAGCATTTATATCAAACTCCCGAGCAGGATGCCTCCCTTTTTCCTTAGCAGCAGGAATTACTGGTAAAATAACTAACTCCAGACCTATAGTCTAGAAAATGCTGAAATTTTCCCCACGAATATTCAGAAGTTTTTAACATCAAAATTTACGCTACTACTATTCACGTACCAAATGAATATCCAATGTGGATATCTGAAACTAGTCTCACAAACCCAACAGAAAAAAATAAAAAAAAACCTCGCACCTCTTCTAACCTTCCTACAATACTCTCAGGTAACCCAGAAGCAAAGCTACGACAGCTGACCTTGGCCTAGGCCATCAGAAACGGCCTAAGGGCAGAGGGGGCGGGGGTGGAAGAGCAATAACCTACAGACCAGATCTTTTTCCAGGGCTACTGTTTCCAAGCAAAACAGGGCCCAAAGAGACCGCGAAGAAAACTGGAGACACTGTAATCCCGAGAGAAAGGGGTGTGTGGGGGTGTGTGTGTGTGTGTGTGTGTGCGCGCGCGTGTGTGTACACACAATCCCAAGAGAAAAGGGTGCGGAACGCCGAGGAGGAAACTAAGTATCCCCACGCCTCTTTAAGACCCACAAAAACAACAACAAACCGTAGGGTCTGTCTGCGCGCAGAAGCACCAGATGGAGTCCCCGAGGCTGAGGCAGTTCAGCCGACACACTCCGTGGGTACTGGATAAATCAACCGATGGGAGGGGAAGGGGGTGCCGAGCGAATAAGCCACTGAATGGGCGAGACAAAGACTCTGGGAGTGATCAAGTACCAAACAGAAAGGTGAGAGGAAAACACGTGAGAAAAATAATGGAAGAAAAATTAAAAGACAGAAATCTGGTGCCTGGGCTGTGGCAGGTCACCGAAGTACGGAACAGCGAAGGGCACAACAAAGGGGCACGGGAGGAAGGACAGCTGAGGGGAGGAGATGGAAAAGGGATGCGGGGCGCGACGGGTCGGACAAAGCGCCCAAGGCGGTGAAACAAAGGGACCGGGGTGGAGAGTCGCGGGGGGCAGCGGGGAAAGACAAAGCGCCCGGGGCCGGGGACACCGGCCCGGCGAGGAGGCGACGACCGCCCGGGGGAACAAAGCTGAGCGGGGCCAGGAGGCCGGGCCCGCGGGCGGCGGCGCAAGAGGCGCGCGACCCGCACGGCGCCCGCGGGCCCCGCGCGCCCGGCCGCACTCACGCCCGCACCCGCCGGCGTCGCCGCCGCCGCCCGCCCTCACGCGCCGGAGCCCGAGCCACGGCGGCGCAGAGCGAGCAGCGCACGGCCACACGCCGCCGCCGCCGCGCTCGACGCACGCGACGCCGACCCCGCGGCCCCGGACGCCAAGCGCGCCGCGGCCCCCGAACACGCCGCTCGCCGCGGGCTGCGAGACGCCCGCAACTTTGCCGATTCCCAGCGCGCCGATTCCCCCAGACTTACCCTGTCACAACAGGCGCCATCTTCCACAAACTCTCGCCAAAACTCCAACCCTCGCGAGATTCCCCCTGACGCCTTCCCTGGTCCCTCTCCCCCGCCCCTTCCCTTTTTCCTCACTCCTCAATTCCACCCAGCCCCCGCGCTTCTTTTCCCCTCGCAGCCGCCGCGAAGAGCCAGACGCCTCGCGCCGCCCGCGGAGTAGGGGATCCTGCTCGCTGCCTTCCCTGGACACCTACCCAAGCGATGGAGCATGCGCAGGCGGCTCCTCCGCGGGCGAGCCCTCAGTGTGGTCCATGGGGAGTGTTCCGGTTATCCGGGTTTTGGGACGCGCCCTGAGGGACGTACGTGGAGACTGAGGAAAACCGGAGGGGATTACAACGGGGATGGGGAATGGAGGGGTCAGGAGGCGGGGCCGAGGGGAAGGGAGGAGGGGTCCTGGGAAAATCTGCCGCGTTTCACAGGCCTAGATGAAACACCTCCTCAAATGGGTGTTTTCCAAGTGGCTTCCCGCTCACTCTGGTTCCCAGCCCTTTTCATTCATTCAGACGTTCATTGGACACCTCCCTTATGCAAATGTCTGCGTTAGATGCTGGAGCTACAGAGATGCCTGGAGTTCGGCAAGTTACAAACCTAGAACTGTCTTCGCTCTCTTCGACCCCCCCATGCTTGCGCACAGACAAGATGACAACGTGGGCTGTGACCCTTCAGAGCTCTGTCAATGTAAAACTTTCGTAGTTGAGCTCTGTGGACTTAGCTTTCTTCTCCTTGGGTGTGAAATGAGGTCAGGCCAAGGCCTCTGGCAAAGACACCCCTACGTCCACCTCGTATATGCATGCCAGAGCGCCGCGTACTTTTCTCCAGAGGTGAAAACCGCGTTGGAATTGAGGCCCCACTCGCACTCAAACCAGAGATGCCCCCGGGGCAGAGAGCTGCCTGCTGTGTGAGCCTCCTTAGCACCTCATCGCCGTCCCCAGGCGTGCCGTGTGTGAACCCAGGTGGAATGGGGACAGACACTGCTCGGGTCCTTCCGTGGGCCTGGCATAGTCGAGGACGCTGGTCGCTGCCCGGAACGCACTTCAGGCAACTTAAGCCTGGAAACCTCGGAGCAAACGTGGTCCGTCTGGGCATTTAATAAAAAGAAGGGCTCGAATCCTGACCCCTCCTTCCTACCTGCCACAGCCCTTTCTCCACCTCGCCACCCCCGCCAGGCTTGCCCTTTCAATTCCTAGAGTTTCCCAGATTGAGCACTGCCTCCTGTAGGGAGCCCCAAAACCCGGAGAACTGGAATTCGCTGCCGGAGACCTGCTGAAGGCGCTGCAGGATTGGCGCGGCACTCGCGAGCGGCACTGCGCATGTGCCCAATGCGGGCAGCCCAGTCTCACGCTACACCTCCTTCCCACCGCCTTCCACTACTCAACTCAGACACAACACGAGCCGTGGGAAATTTCCTAAACCTCGCGAGAACGCGCCCACTGTTGCCTATGCTTTCGCCCCCAAATCTCGCGGAGCCCAGGCGGGACAGGTGTTTGTCTAGTACGGCTCCAGGCGCTGTTCGTGCGGCGCGTGTTCGGGCGACGGGCGACGGGCGGCGGGCGGGCGGGGTGGGAAGGGAGCGGCTCGACGCGGAGGCGGGGCGGGTGGGCGCGTGGTGGGGAGCCGCTGGGAGGGGGCACGGCGTCTTGCATACACACGCCGCGTGACACTTTGTGGAAGAAAAATGGGTGGCGGGGTGGGCGGGCTGTAAAGGAAGAAGGGGAAGCCAGGAGATTAGAAACTCCTCTTGGTGTAGATGGTAAGAGGTCAGACTGTAGGGCAGGAGGAGCCCCGGGCCGATCCCCTGGGGAGGTTTCCTGTCGCCTTCCTCGAGCCTGGTACTTTCCTAAAATGTGTTTGACGCCGCGCCCCCGGCCTCCGGGAGCTGACGGCCCCCAGTGTTGGGTTTGAGTCATGCCTCTGAGTCACCTAGTCTGGCCACCACTTGGTTTAAAACGAGTTAGGATTTCCTTAGCTACTCTCTTGTAGCAATTGGTTGTTTTCTTTCTGATCTACCCGCTGGCATCGCGAGTGGAATAGGGAAAAAATACGGCTCTCTGCGCTCTTGCAATGTTGCCCAGTATAGATTCCGTCCCCCATTCAAGGACACAATTTAAAAATTTCTTTCCCCTAATCTCTTCCTAGCCTTTTGAAGTAATTCGTATATGTGAGTTTCTGTTCTTGTGTTTTGTTTTCCTTTCCTCCCGCTAACAAGAGTTAAACTAATGGCTTTTCTTTCCGTCACTTTCCATGCGTTTGCTGAAATACTCATTCCATCTTAGGTATTGTTTCATCAGATGTTTTAGCTACGACTGTTTTAAGTGTATCCTCTTGAATTATTTATTTGTCCCGTGCATTCCTGGTTACATTCTTCAATCAGGCACATTTCAGATTGCCCTGGTTTGGTTTCTTTACCAGCCCAGCCTGGCATTTTCTAGGAGCTGGGGCCTTGGTGATATCACAGACCCGCAAATGTGGAATTGAATTGTTTTGATTTTTGGAGGACAGTGAGTCCTCTAATAGAGGCTCATGTTCTGCTTGTTATGTAGTGGACAAGAAATCAAGTTTTTGAGTTGTTTTCAACGTTTTTAGTTACGTGTGATGATATGTGTGTGCATTTTCCTATCCCTTTGATTAACTGTTTGACACAGAAAAAAAAAAGATATAAGGACATTTAATACAATAGCTCACTGCAAGTCTGCTTTGGAACAGGGTAGCTCAGGAGGAGGACAGTGCCCATGGGCAGATTCCTTAAAGTCTTCATCCCAAGAAGGCATTTCAGTCATAGTCTAGTCCAGGCCATTAACTTAATTTGGAACCCTGGCCATCTGAGAACCCCAGCCACAGAAAGCCATGGTAGCCACAAGCCAGATCACAACTCATCTTCACCCTAAAACATGATCTGCCTGCAGTCTTTCCCCAATCCAGTAAATGACAACTCTATCCTACTTCTTTAAGCCAAGAACCTTGGAGTTATTCTTGCTTCCTTTTCCTCTCACATCGAATGTCCTGTCTAACCAAATCATGCCAGCCATTCCTTCAAAACAGACCTGTAGTCCAAGTATTTCTACACCATCATGGCTCCCAGCCCACCGTGACCCATCTCCTTTCCCACCTGGTTTACAGAAAGTCTCCGAACTGGTTTTCCCTTCTTCCATTCTTGCCCTCCCTCAGCCTGTTCTCAGTAGGGCATTCAGAACAACCCTCTAGAACTTTCCATGGTTTTCCTATTTCACTATAAGGACCTACACATCTGACCTGCTATTTCAAATCCCCTGACCTCCCTGACCTCACCTCTTCCTCTTCCGCTTGCTCACTAAGCTCTAACCAGCAGTGTAACTTGCTGTCCCAGGACATACCAGACACACTACCAACTTCTTTTGCTCTTTCCTTCAGATACCTTGCTCATTTTTTCACTGCTTTCAGATATTTGCTTAAATGTCACCTCAGCGAGGCCTTCTGTAACCACCCTCCACGAAGATGACTCCTCATACTCCCTATTCCCTCCTCTATTTTTCCTAAGGCATTTATAAATTAACATACCATGTATCATACCTGTGTATTGTGTTTACTCTCTGCCTCCTCCCATTATAATGTAATCTTAATAACGACAGGGACTTTTGTCTATTTTGTTCATTGTTTAAACCTAAGCCACTAGAACAATGCCTCGTGCCTGGTAGGTGCTCAGTAAGTGTTTGTAGAATGAACAGGATGTCTCCCACTCTACAGCAGAAGAGAAATGATTCTGAAGACTGGCAAAGCCTTCTAGGGTTGAAAACAGTATTGGGGTTAGACCAACAATAAATGCTGCAGCGCCAGCCTGCCTGGGGAAAGGAGGTCCTATAGAGCAATCATCTACATTGACTTAATGCAAAAAAAAAAAAAATTCTTGCTCCTGGGTTAGGAGCAGTAGATGAATCTACACTTAGTTGAAGGGTTTCCTTTGTTCATTTTAGAACCTCAGGAAAGAAAATACTATTGGCAAGGGGTGCCTGGGTGGCTCAGTCGGTTAAGCATCTGCCTTCAGCTCAGGTCGTGATCCCAGGGTTGTGGGATAGAGTCCCACATCGGGCTCCCTGCTCAGCAGGGGAGTCTGTTTCTCCCTCCTTCCCCACTTGTGCTCGCTAGCTCTCTCTCTCTCTCAAATAAATAAATAAGATCTTAAAAAAAAGAAAATACTATTGGCAAGATATCAAGAAATAGGTATTCACATATGTTCTAATGGGAGTGAAAATGGGCATAATCATTATGAAACCATTTTTCCAAAACTTGTCACTACCTGTTGATCCTACCATTCCACTTTTAGAAATCTATCCTACAATTAGACTCACACGTGTATAAAATTACCTATATATTGCAGCATCATTGATGGTAGAGAATACTGGTAACAGCCTACACATCAATCAAGAGATGTCTTATTTTAAAAAAACAATCATACCTGAAACGAATATAACACTGTATGTTAACTATACTGGAATTAAAATTAAAAACTTAATTTAAAAATCATGATATATTCTCAGAATTAAATAGTATGCATCTGTTAATAAGCTGAGGCTGCTTTTTATGTACTTATATGGAAAGATAACAAAGTTTAAAAAGCAAGGTACAAAATAGCGTTAGATAAATACATACTTATTTGCCTCTATGTATCTAAAATGGCTCTGGAAGGGCACACTAGAAACTGTAAGGGACTCAGTGGTTGGAGGGTGTGGTGAGGAGGTGACTTATCTCCCAGTCAGCTGTCTTGGATACTTGGAATTTTGTACCTAGTACATGTATTGTCTATTCAAAATACAAAACAAAAAAGGGAAAACGGAAGAAAAGGATTAAATGTGCAAGAAGAAAAAAAAATTGAAAGAATGAAATTACTTCCTTGGTTCTATCTCCTGGTCGTGAGGATTCAAGACGTTTATTTCATCATGAGGTGCTAGAACATTATTTTCTAATAGAAATGATGGACTTGACCTACCATCTCAGTACAATTAACTGCAGAACTGTCAGTACTTTACTCCAGTCACTGGGTAACACTGAACTCGCAAGCAAGTCCAAACAGCAAGTTTAGAGTCCCTACCACTTCATGTTAGGCATGATCTTTGGTGGTTTAAAAAGTTAGATAAATGCAGAGATCTCAGGGGACTCCCTGGCTAACAGTACACAGACCAATTGCAGTGTAATTCTAGGATAGATCAATGAGTTTAAGGGCAATGGAGCA